AAGTGGATAAAAAGTGGATTACACCACTGAGTAGATTTTAAGGGTACATTAATTTTTAGCCCATTATTTTGAAACAGGACATCCCTGAGCCCCCGTGTTGTGTAACAGGCAGTTTAAGGTGACTGAAAATGTCCTTTCTTGCCATTATAAAGCCCTGAAAACAAAAGAAAAGAGCCCAGACTGAAGCAGTAAAAACCAGTTTAACAGAACCTGACACAGGTAAGCACAAGTGTGTGACTCAACATTCACATGATTGCAGGTGTAAAGGTGAACCAGGTGAAAAGGCAAGCTCCAACAGAGGGAAAGGTTACTCTCAGTCTGTGTATTTGCTTAAAAGGATTTAACAGTGAAGAAAAAACGAAACGCTTTTTCTTCGTAGAATCAACTTTAATATCTAAAAGAAACTCTTTTCTTCTTTAATCTTTAATATAAAAATGTCTGCACTGCTTTATGACACTAAAGAATTTGTCGATCTGTGGATCATGAGCAATAATCAGTGTTCTTCATGATAAGATCGGTCTTGCTGTTTTTTCTTTTTGCTGAATGCGAATAAAGCATTATAATGTAACCCTTTAACACCTTTGTGGCTCAGACACATTCAGCTACAGTGTAAATGAAATCCTCGTGAACATGAATGAAGACCTTTTGCCACACATTCAATCATTGAGCAAACAGCAGCTGACGCCGTAAACAGACAGCACGAGCTTTGATCCTGAGCGTTAAGCTTCATTTAAAGTCGCTTCACAGACACACTCAACAAACTCTGTCAAAGCTTTAATAAAAAAACTCAGCGTCATGTTTTATGTGTTTCAGATGCAGATGTGAATGAGCCAATGTCAAAGATAAAAAGAGGCACGGAAGTCTCTTTCCCAGTTCCTGTCTTTTTGCTCTTTTTTCCTATTTTCTTCCTTCCTCTGTCCTTTCATTCCAATCCCCACTTTGTCCTTAGATGGTGGTTTCACAGCTTCACAGTCTCTGGCTTGGAAGTGAGTCACTTTGGCTGTTTTCATCTGTCCGTATCCCAGACCCTTTTGGTCTCTCTTCAGCACAGTAGGCACTGGCTGTTTGGGCCCCTCTCCCTGTGGCCCCAGTCCTGTTCCTGGTTTCCAGCCACAACGAACCATCATCTTGAAGCTGTTGCTGGAGGGGGGGAGGCAGTAGTAAGGCGTCGGTGGAGGGCGTCGCAGATTGAACTGATGCAGGGTGGAGGAGAGATGTGACGGCAGGCTGCTGCTGTACTCGCTACGACACACGTCGCACCACTGAGGCTGGAGGGAACTGACGATAGATGAAAAAAGACAACATGAGCCCGAAAAGAAACATGAAAGAGCCACAAACTGACTTCTTCTCCAAGTGTGTGTAAACAACAGCAGAGATTTTACCTGCTGTAATCTTATCTCACTCGTGTTTGTGCTCATTCGAAATCTGTTGATCTGACCTCATAATGTGATCCTGATGTTGGTGAATGTTGGCAAATATTACTGCTATATTATTCAGTATTATCTGATTTTTTATGGTAATTAACTCTGATTTGATTCCATGATTTGATTCCATTGGTTAAAGTCCAGCCTTACCAGGAAGTTTGTTTAGCTCACTGCTGTTTATGACCTCACATCTGTGAACACACCCACACAGTGAGGAGGGCAAAAGGACTGCCGTTATCATATATAGCGGCAGTGCTAAATGCACTAAGATGAACTCTTGTTGCACAATTTGACACCAATAAGCGCTGATCCTTCTCCTGACTGTAAAATGTCACTTTATGTGTTTAAGTTTCAGGAATCTGAAAAATATAGGTCAAGTCTCCGCTTTAAAAAGAAACAGATGAGATGGAGATGGCAAAGTTTACCCATATAAAATAGAAATTATGTAGTAATTTCTGCTTCACCATCACCGGAGCTCAAGCTTTTTAATACGAGATTTAAACCCAGACACGATCACTTTTAGCCCATCAATCCATAAAAATCCAAAAAGGCACCAGGCAGTGTGTCTGTGTCGGATCGATTAAAACTCCTGTACCATTAAATGTTTCTCACCATAGATTTTGAATCAAGGATTTTTCATTGATCGCTTGGAAAATTTGTGTCATTAGATTATCAATAAACAAACATCTCTATTACACAGAGTAGTTCCAGCAATAAGAAACCCTCTGCTGGGCGTTGTATGTGAGGGAGGCCAACTTTAGACAAAGTCTAAGCTGGTTGTCACGACATTATCGTGAAAACGGCTTGTGTGTACCCTATTCCTCAGATATGAATGGTTTAGATAGATATTGTAACGCCTGAATGATTTTACTGTGTGGTTATATTTAGATTAGAACTGTGTACCAATGAGAGTGTGCACACCTGCTATCGGACGGTGTGTCTCTCTTTGGTCTTCTCCCGTAGCTCAACAGCTCCTCCAGCACGTCATTGTGACCAGCTGTGAAAAGAAATGAATGAGTTCAGTTCAAGGTCTTTATAGTCATCTTAAAACTTGGAGCCATGAAACTGAAAGAGACATAAAAACTCACTAAACCAACATTGTGTTATTGCAAAACTAACTATGTTTTAATCTTTGTTAGTATAGTCATGTTTGACTACACTACAAGCTTTTATGGTCATCTTTATTTAGACTACAGTGGTGCATTTATGTTGCAATACCTGTCCTGAATTTTTTAAATTTCCACATTATATTGCCTTATAATAACAATTATAATAATAATAATAATAAATAAAAAGATTAAAACAGTAAAAGTAATGAAAATTAAACAAAAAACAAACAATTTCAAACAATAAGAAGTAAAAGTGAAACAGCTGAACCCACTCCGAGAATGAAAACGGACCTGAATTCAAAGCAAAACGTCAAAATGAAATAGGAACAAATACTAAATAGAAAATCCAAAACTACAACAACACTGCACTTCACTGCACACACAAACAGACATCGACCACTAATGATCACATCTGAGCAAACATCTCGGAGCTGAATAGCCGTCAGCTGGCACGTCACAATTTTTCCTTTCCTTAGCAACCAGTTTTGACCTGGGAGATGACTTCAGGGTTTCAACCATGTTTGTTGGTTATACCTTCCAGTGCCAGGTCTTTGGCATCCCTCCCCTTTGTGTCAACCACTCCGACCCAGGCCGCTCCGTGCTGCAGCAGAAGCCTCACAGCAGATCTTTGCCCTGACCAGCTTGCACACATTACAGCTGTGCAGAAGAAAGTGTCCTGCAAGGGTGGAAAAAACAATACACTCTTTAAGCAAAACGTATTATTTCCCCAAATGAAACAGAATCTTCATTATCATACCTGGTAGTTGATGTCGACCCCCTTTGAGAGGACCTCTTTGAGCCCAGGGATGTCTCCCTCATGGGCAAAGCGCAGCAGCCGCAGACCCAGCAGCTCCATGGTTCTTTCTGAGTGTCCAGTCTCTGATTGACTCCCTCCACTCTGACCCTGCTGTGCTTCCACAGCTCTCACCCTCCTCATCGCTCTTCTCCTGGACTCTCTACTCTCCTGTCTAGTCTGACCTTTTGATCCATCTCCCCCCTTCTCATCTTTCGTTAAGCTTTCGTAGAAACGCTTGGCCTCTTCCCCGCTGAGTCCGCTGCTTGTTTTTGAGCTGGACTGTTCCGCTTCGAAACTAAAAAGATCCTGCTCTCTGGCGGGAGTAAAGCCGAAAGCAGCCATAAGGAGTGACCGTAACTTCAGGTATCTCAGACAGGACGCTTTGTAGTTACGTGAAAGAAGCAGATCTTAAAGTCAGCGGTGTTTATATCTAACTGAGATATAAATGAGATGTTAGCCAACATTGCAGTTTCCAAAAGACAGTTCACATGCTGGTACTGGATTTAGCCACATATTACATTTAACATTATACTTATAACAGGAAACTACCAGCGTCACAACGCTATACCAGCAGGGTAGCTAGTTAGCATCTTAGCATCAGTAGCTAAACATTAGACATACGATCATTTCAGATTACCAACGAGATTCAGTCACTCCAAAGTCTATTTAAAGCTCGTTTATGATGAAGATATAATATAACCTAGAGCCAAATGTTAAACAGCCGATTACATTAAAAATTCTCGAGTCGATTCGATAACAGGAAGCAGCTTCAAAATAATGTCCTTATTTCCGTGGAAAAACAAGTGTGAGTAACAGTGAGTGCTGCCACCTACAGTCTACTCCTTTACACTGCACCCTTTGATATCTCTCAATAACTAAATATATAATTCATAAACTCAGACGTCACTGCCACCTATTAAGCCTGATGCTGCTTTCGTTTTTACTTTTTTCAGTTTATATTTTTTTTCATTCTGCCTTAAAAAATTTAAAAGAATTACTGGCCTTTTATTTCACTAAAATAGTTTAACATGCTTAATGCATTCAACATACAAGTACCACATTAATATGTGAAAGTCCTTTTTTAATCTACATCAATAAAATTCGATCTATTTAACTACTGTTCACACTGTGAGAATTGCAGGGTGAAAAAGGTAACTAACACCTGTGCTTCCCCCACGTGTGATGTGTGGAAATCTTCAGACGTGTATCTCTTCTAGGAGCATATCTCAGCAACTGTAGTGTAACATGTTATTTCATGTCAGGTGATTTACACTTTGGATTCAGAGGTTGTTTTGCAAACACATATAGACAGAGGTCTGATTAAAATCACTATATCATATTTTAGTCTCAGTGACTGTTTTGTTTTTTCCTTCCTTTTGTTAACCTGGCTGTTTCCTGACTACTTCTGACAATTTTATAAACTCATTTCCTTTATACTGCTTTATGTCATCATAAATATTCATTTGGTCTCTTCTTTCTTCCTTGCTTTCATTTTATGCCAACAAATGCAAGTTGTATGTACTTCTTTACCTTCCACAAAAGATCAGCCCTCCACAAGAAACAAGAAAAACTCCCCAAAACAAAAACTTCATCCTATTAAATTAATTAAATATGGAAGATTTACTGCAAGAAATTAACCAAGAATTTGTACATGGCACATGTAACACACAGTTTTATTTTTTCCTCCACAGAAATATACTGCCACACAATAGTCTGTTTTCAAGCTGCCTGAAATGTGGGTGATTTTCAAAAGCTATCAGGGCAGTCTGGCCTGCAGAAGCTTTGATGGAGAAGAGGTTTTTTTTGTAAAATAGCAGACCGGGCTGGGTAGAAGACCCCCTCCTTTGTTCTGTTTTCTGCTCGCGTACACACCTGAAAACAATAATATCCCTGTTGCCATCACTGCTCTTTACAACACGACAGCAGCAAAGTCTGACACAGTGCTGCTTCTTCATTCTCGTGAGCAGCATCAAAAACAAAGACCACTCAGAGAGCACAACGCCCACCTGAAAGGCAACGTCTTTACTAAAACTCTGATATTTTATTCCATTTTATTGGTATGGCGCCACTGTGTGGTCATACTGAAAAAGTAAAAAGCGTGTTGCATAGCTCTCGCCATGTCCTTTCATATCATAGATTACTCGATATAGTTTTGATATAGCAAACCTGGGTACTCATGTTCCCCAACGCCTAGTATATTGTTGTAAAGTTTAAAACTAATCCATTAAAGATTGTGTGTAACGTAAAGTTTTTCACATTTGGTGTGACCTGACCTGAGTTTCACCAAAACGAAATCAGCTGCAGCCTGTTATTGGCATTTACCACCAAAACAATATTAGAAAATATCTTGAAAACTGAATTCTTAACTGCTAACAAAAAGAACCAGTCACATGCTCCCTCCCCCTCGAGGGAGAACTATTTTGTGTCACAGGACTTGCCATCTGAAGCGAGTTTGAGTAACTAACAGATGATTGTTTCTTTGTACACATCTGATGTGGTTTCACAGTCTCACGACAGGTACTGGTGAAGTGAATACGTTTTATTCTTAGGACACTTTTCCAAACACAGTTACAAAATGCTCACTTTCAGAGAAGCAAAAAGAATCAGACGTGTAAGATATGCCCACACATACAGATAAAAATGCTGAATCGCGATCGCTGAAACATTTTGGTGTCTGAGCGTTCAGTATGTGTCTGCAGACGTGTGTGTCGAAGGCCAAAGATTTACATGCTGGTCACGACTGTGACAGTCTGTAAGACCAGGGTGCTTTACAAAAGTGCTTCACGAGGAGGATAAGTCAGGCACAGGAGGGAGAGCCGTGAGCCTCAAAGAATAAACTGTCATGCAGAGCTTTTGTATTTCAAGAGTAATGATACGACGTCTTCAGTCCAGCTGTGAAACTTGCAGAAAACAGCAGAGACAAACTGACAGGCATCTTACTGTACACACAGAAACCATTTGTGACACCAGTACTGTGGTTCTGCATGCTTTTCCCCCATTAAGTAAAGTTTGGAAGCAAAAAGCAGCACATTCATGAACTTTTCAGAAAAATCTAACAAGAAAACACAAATCCTGATGGGAATTGGGCTCTCTGCGTTAATTTACAAAGTTTTTTTTTCAGTAGTAAAGAAATGAGCATTTAAGAAGTGGGAGTTTTCTTCTTTCATGCTGCTTTTGTGTAATTTGTCTTTTGTCTCCAATAGGTATTGCATTTTGGCTCAGTATATGTGCTATAAGAAAGTTATAAAGTGCTATGTTTTTAGGTTATGATAGTCATTTTTGAGTAGTTTTGCAAGACACAAGAAAAAACAAACAAACACATTAAACAGGTTATTCTCTCTCTCAGAAACATTTAAGACAGATGAACAGCAGCTCTGTGTGACTGGCTTTTCATCTGTGACTCAACATCAGTTTTCACCCTCACTGTCAAATGTCAATGAACAGAATCAAATGATTTGTAAGCCACTTAGAAGTAAAGAAGTGAGGGGTTGTGTGGGCTAACTCAAGAAGATCATTAAAAGTCAGAGTCAGAATTCAGAGAAATCTCTGCATGCAAGAGGCAGGGACAAAAATCATACTGGAAGGCTGTGTTAAAAGTGACATGTGAGTAGTGGAAATCCTGGCATGGGCTCATAAATCATTAATATGACCAAAAAGGCATTAATCTTGATTCTTCTGAAAAGCTCATAAAAATGATGTCTTTCACAATATCTGCTGCATTTATACTTTGCCCATTTGTGAAGTTTGGCTTCACAAAAATCTCCAGTTAAGCACTAACAAGTCTTTACTGGGACCGCCAGAAACTGATCTGTTAGTGTTGTTCATAATCCAAACCAATTATGTTACCTCATCTTTTATGTTCATGTCAGCCTAAATTTGCCTTAGTTATGCTTGTAATACATTTTGGTTTTGTATTGTTCTGTATATTAGTAAGGCATCAAACTCCAACGAACATGCAAAACCACTGGTACGGTCATTTCAAAATAACCACCGAGCCTTTGTTGTTTTCCTTTCACTGCACTTATGGGTGGAATTTACTGATGTGTCTGTTTCTGTCCCCGGTCTGTGTAAAAGTCTGTGCACAGTGGGGGCAGGAGTACGGTCTCTCCCCTGTGTGTATCCTCATGTGAACATTTAGTTTGTCTTTGCTAATAAAGCGTTTGCTGCAGCAGGTGCACGCATACGGTTTATCTCCCGTGTGGTAGCGCTGGTGCATCTTCAGCTCTGTCATGCGACCGTAAGTTCTACCGCACTGGGGACACTCGTAACTGGGCCGAACCTCCATGTGCTGTCTGCTGTGTAGGCGCAGCCCGCTGGACGACCTGAAACTCTTACTGCACTGGGAACACTGGTAAGGTTTTTCTCCTGTGTGGATGTGCACATGTAGCTTGAGGCTCGCTGCGGAGGGGAAGCCGTTCCCACAGATGGAGCAGAGGTGAGGTCTCTCCCCTGTGTGGATCGTCAGGTGTTTTTCCAGCTTATTCTTGTTCAGGAACGTCCTCCCGCAGACGGAGCAGGTCTGCGGCTGCTCTCCCTCGTGTGAACTCATGTGCTCCGTCAGCTCCATCAGGGTGGAGAAAGCAAAATCGCACCGAGTGCAGGAGTAGGGCCTCTCCTTCTTGAATTTCCTGTGTTTGAGGCAGTGCTGCTCTAGATCTTCCCTCTCCTCAAAGGTTTCAATACAACAGGTGCACTGGTACGGTCTTTCTTCAGTATGAGTCCGCAGGTGATACTTCAAAGCGGTTAACTGCAGAAAGACGGTGTCGCAGTGTGGACATTTAGATTCGCGCCTGTTGTGGACCATTAAGTGCCTCTTATAGTGGGAAAGCTTGAGGAAGTGTTTGCGGCACAGTGCACAGTAATACTGTTCGCTTCCATGACTTTGCTCGTGCTTCTTCAGAGCATACTCAACCTTAAACTTCTTTCCACACGTGCTGCAGGAATAAGACTTCTGATGCACCGCCATGTGTACCTCCAGTTCTTCAAGACTACCAAAGGTTTCATTACACTTTGGGCAGGTCCCCTTGTTTTCTTTCACATGTACCTCCAGGTGTTTGTTGAGGTCTTCCACAAAGGCAAAGTCTGTCTGACAATCAGGGCACGTGAAACACTCCCCATTTGATGCTTTCCTATGAGTCACTATGTGCCGTTTCAAGTGATACATTCGGCGGAATTCTTTGCCGCAGTCGCCGCAGACGAGGCTTCGAGGACCCGCCGCGACCTTCTTGTGTAATTTAAGGTGACTCGCAAGCGCAGCCTTCTCCTTGAACTGTTTATCGCATGCGAGACATGTCAGGCCTTCGACTGCGTGGGTTTTCTTGTGCGCTCTCATATCGAGCCAGCTACTGAAACTTTTGCCACATTTAGAGCAGATGTATTTGCCCAGATTGTGCTGGTTCCTCACATGTCGGGTCATGTGGTAGGACTGGCTAAAAGTCATGGCGCAGACAGGACAGCTGAAGGGTTTCTCCTTTGTGTGTGTCCTCATGTGCCTGGCGAGTTTGTTTGGCCCTCTGAAGCGTCTGTTTATGCAGATGGGACAGAAATGGCCTTTTGTTTTCGCAGTGGTGGTGGGGTTTTCTTTTGGTCTCCCTTCATCTTGAGATGATGCTTCATCGGAATTTCCTTCTTCCATCAAAACATTCGCTTCGGATCCCGTATCCTGAAAATCCCTGTTACCGAAAGCTGGATCGTCACTTGTTATTTCTTCAATCTTCACTTTGACTCTCTCGATTTGCTGAGAACTTTGTCCGTCTGTGTGGGTGGAGAAACTTTTGCTGTCTGACTCGACATGACTAGAAAACACGTCGCTGTTGGGTAATTTTTCACGACATTCTGGATATGACAGAACATCTGACTTGTGCTTCCTCTTGTGACTTTTCAACTCTGCAAAGCTCTCTAAAGTTATCCCACAGGCAGTGCAGACATGCTGTCCTGCACCGTGCTGGTTCCTCAGGTGTCGGGTCATGTGGTACGACTGGCTGAAGCTCATAGAGCAGATAGGGCAGTTGAACGGTTTCTCCTTCGTGTGAGTCCTCATGTGTCTGGCAAGCTTGTGAGCGTCTCTGAAGCGGCGATCGGGGCAGATGGGACAGTAGGGACCTTTTGGTTTAGTTGAAAACGGCTCAAAGTCCTCATCATTGGCGTTGTCGTCATCCTCAAAACCATCACTAGTTTTGCTGCACCAGTGCTTGTTCAGCTTGTGTAAAGATGAAGATGAGGTTCCATTTTCATTATCGCAAGTCAGATTGGTCTCACTAGTAGTCTGAGACTCTGCATCATTGTCATTATTACAGAGCTTATCTTTGCTGTAGCAGTTACCTTTGGGTTTGAGTGATTGAGTTTTAGTCAAGCGTGAGTTTGTTTTTGACCTTTTTTCCCCACGGCGAGGCCTTCCTCTTTTAGCTTTTCTTTGAACCGGTGGTTCTAAATCATCTCCAATGTCCACGCTGACTTCATGAATATCAAACAGCTGAGATCCGTTTAGCAAGGTTTCCACTTCTTTACCAATAACTAACGCTGTGGTCAAAGTCATACTTTCTCTCCCAGTCAGAAGCCTCTCTCTGAGCTGTGGGTAGCTTGTTTTCTCAATCAGCTGATTCAAGAGGAGTTCATCCTTCAAGTGTCCATAACTGCAAGGCCTGAGCAGCTCTTCTAAAGCAGACACAAACTGATCTACAGTCTCTCCAGGCATCTGAGCCCTTTGGTGGAATTTAAGGCGGTGCATCTGAGTGGTGTGATCAGAGCTGAAGTAAGCTGTCAGTGTTGATACGGCTGCTGCGTACGTGGTGTCATTTTGGATCAGTGTTGTGAAGATACGCTGCCCCTCTGGGCCAAGGCAGTTCTGTAAGAGCAGACACTTACTGGAGTCGACCAGCTCTTTTTCACTGAGTGCTTCGACATAGTGTTCGAACGCTTTGAGCCATTTAGACCAAAGCAAGGCTGGCTCACCGTGGACAGGCAAGAAAGGTGGAGGCGGGGACAGGATTATCAGCAGTGGCTCTGCAAGGGGCTCCAAAGCGGGGTCCTGTTTTATCACATCCTCATCTACCTTCACAGATACTTCACTCATTGTTAGGTTTTATGAAGTTTGCTCACAGGGGCTAATTTTTTCCTTCTCCCAGTCCAGTAAGACTTCACTCACTCTAAGATGTCACTCTGTGTTCCTGCCATCCGAGCTCATCTAGGAAAACAGTAAAATATACAAACACAAATTAGCTTCAGGCGTAGTTTCTCCACATGCAGATTATTTCACTAAAATACACGCCTCACTATAACTACAGCAGCTTAATACCACAGTCTAATAATAACTCATACATTCATTGAGGTTATTATTCATTTTGAGTTTATTTATGTTATGTTAATAAAGAAAAATAGCTTTACTTGTTGTAACTCTGACCTTAAGCTTAAGCATGAGAGACTAATTAGATCATCACTGTGTGCAAGTTTCACTACACTCTGACCAATAACGTAGGAGGGGCAGCGATTCTTGAGAATAATAGTTGGATGGTTCTCTGTGACTGAATTAAGTTGCATTATTGGTCGGTGGGATGAATGTGTTAGCAAAGTATGTTGAGCCTATAGTCAGAGTTTTCTGTGTTATGCAGACGGCTCTCATTTTACTTTGCTAGATCACCATGCTGAATTTTGCATTTCTCATAAACTGGTTGAACTGGCTGTTCAGAATTTTAGTTTCAAATCAGCTGAAAATGCCACATTTTCATTGATCTTATTTGTATCTGCTTTACATGTTTTATATGTGCAGCTTGTTAAGCTTCACCTTACTAACACCACAGGATGAAGCCCAGCTGTAATGCAAGCTTCACATTGCATTGTCTGGGGAATTTACAAAAAAGATCAAGGTTTTTATGTTTGCTTCTAATACACTACTATTTTTTTTAACACTGCTGGAACACTTCCTTAAATAGTGTAAGTACCTTTAAACTAGGTTATATTACTCTCACTTCCACCTTGCAAAAAGTAAAAGTGGCTTCTATGTTTTCTGAGTGGACTAGGCAGTGCTTAGCTGATTGAGTTTCTGTGAAACACCCCTTTTTATTTGAGCGCATGCAGATCCTAAAGCAGAAAGGCTGTGTTAACACAGAGAGATAAGCAGCGCTGCGATACCTTCCACTGTCCAATTTGCACGAAACAGCTTCATCAGGGATTCAAACGGGTCATATTTTTATGGTAAGCCGTGGTGAGAGGCTGCTAGATGTCGATTGCAGTTGCAGTGAAGTTGCCTGTTTACCCGAATTGCACGGGCCTGGAGAATGGTCAGCTGGCAAATGAATAGTGGACATGTGAAATTGGTCAAAAATAGAAATATGATGCTGCACTGAAAACTTTGCCTGTACTTTGGAAGACGCCAACCTGTCTATAAACAATTACTAGTTGCTGACGAGCAAATGACTTCTTGTTCCAAAGTGACATCTTTTGAAACATGTTAGTTTTAGTAGTAAGGCTCAAGGTGTCCTCTGCAGACAATCACTCCTCATACAGTCTGACAAACCCTGTATCGTTTAATTACTGCTTGGTGCCATCGTTAATTGTGACAGCCAATTTTGATTTAGTTTTAGTCATAATCTTTTGACTAAAATCTTCTTTGAGTCTTTGAGATTTATTCATAATTTAGGGATCTGAATTAGCTTTAGTAGAATAAATCTAAAGTTTATTGTTTATTGTAAAAATCTATGGTGAGAGTTGCTCCACACGGTTTACAAAATGTCTTATTTTCCTTGATATCAAATGTGAAATGTTTCCATCTGGTCTCCTGGTCCTCTCAAGTGCTGAAGTTTTGTCATGTGTTCATGAGAAACGGGGCAGCTGAACCATATCAAACGTGTACGTCTAACCTCGCTGCACAAGGAGACTACTTCTGACTGGATGCCTTCCAAACTCCTCCCGCCTTTCTACAAAACTTAATTGGTTCTGATTGGATCTCCGGATTATTTTTATCTTGGTTTATTAGTTGAAAGTCCATCTATGAATCCTCACAGTGGTTAGGGTCGTGGGGGACTGGAGGTATCCCAGCTACCATACAGTGAGAGGCAGGGTACATGCTGGACCGATCGAGCAGCCAGAATTACTGGTCAAAGAAATTAATGCTGCTTGGTGGTTAGTGAGTGTTTAAAGACAAGTTGCAGTCTTCCAAAAAATTACTGTTTCAGCTCCTTGTCCATTATGGCCACCCTCTCTTTAAGCCAACTTTTCTGCCTCCCTTCAGTGGAAAAACTTTAAGTGCTTCATTATAAAAATAAGCTGGACATTTTGTCTTTTCCACGCACATCAGAATCAAACTGATCGCCTCCCTCAAAGAAATAATCTTAGTAGGTTATACCAGTATGATGGTGACTCTGGCCCCCTCAAAGTGGGTGACTGCGGCGCGGCCCTGCGACCAGCATCACGGTGCACGCGCTAACGGTTTTTAACGTCCCTCCTCCACAGCGTCAAAGGGGCAGCGGGAAGATTTTATAGCCACAGAGAAAAGAGGAAGCACTGAAGGAAGCATGAAGGAGGAGGAGGAGGACGCGAAAACTCACCAAACCAAACTGGGTCACAAGTCACGGCACGGACAGACGGACGGACGGACGCAGAGACAGCGGCGGGGGGAGGGACCACAGACTCAGCTCCGAGCCGCGGCCGTCAGCATCCCGGCAGCATGCTCCTCTCTGCAGCCGCGCACTTTAAAACAGTCATTACACCTAAACGCTATGCTCACAACCAAAGCATGGAGTGAAAAATATAACCGCCATGTTAGCAGAGCTTCTTCCGGACACTGCCTCCCCTCCCACGGGGGTCTGTGTCAGCGCCCCACAGCGCCCTCAGCTGGCTGGAGGGGCGTATAATCCGCGACCCTTAGCCTTAACTTTAGCGGAAACAGCTGCTTTCTTCTACTAAGACCAAAGAGGTATTTTTATATTCAATACTTAATTAACGATTAACAATTTGTTGACCACATCCCATTAAAACAATAACGTGTCTCGGTGTTTCTGTAAGGTGTTGCACATTTTTCCGGCTGCATCAATGGATTTGAATAAGGCAGAAGGGAAACAGGGAAGCATGTTTAATGAAATCTCGTTTCACCTCATTTCTTCTGATTCTTTACGGTCTGAAGATTTCCATCAGTGTTAACGAATGCTTAACTAATTAACGTTATTTATTAAAGTATTCACCTGCTCTCTGGGATTGATACAAAAACATGGCAGCACAATCGGTGGTGGTGTGTTGTGAAGTACCTGTGGGGAATAAATGCACCGTGAGCTGCTCAAACCAGTGTTACAGACTTTTAATGAGACTTTAAAAAAAAAGTTTACAGTGTGCCGCACTCTTACTCAAACTGTTTCTCTCCTGTTTGAAGGATTTCTGTGCTTTGTGTGTGTTTTTCTTCGTCTCATTATTGCTGCACGCACACTTTGGGGACACAAGATCCAAACAGTGTTACTGCTGAAGGTTAAACAATATTTTAAGTATACTTCTGCATTTGGGAAGAGACAGAAGCATCAGAAACAAATGCATGCCAAAGCCTTTTATTGGTTGAACCGACTTTATTTGGCAAATAAACCAAAAATTGCAGATTCACTGTGTTGCAGCTGTTATTAAATTAAATTAAACTTAATTTATATATTATGTATATAATCACAACAGCAGTTCTTCAAGGCGCTTTATAATGTAAGATAGAGATCCTATGATAATATAGAGAAAACTAACAATCAGATGACCGCCTTTGAGCAAGCACTTGGCGACTGTGGGAAGGAAAAACTCTCCCTGCTTTACCCTATCCGATTGGGGATGATGGGAAACAGGACAAAAAAAAAAACACCAGGTATGTGAGGATTTCCATTTTATACTTATGTTTCACCCACTCCGATTGCATTTGACCACATAACTTTTCCTTGTAGATGAAGAGTTTTCAGGATTTCTCATAAAAACATACTAAACTTGTCAGTCTTGGTAATGATCAAACAACTTTTAAAGCTGCTGTATTTTTAAGATCGTTATCCCATTGAAAGGTCCATGTGCAGTACATTTTCAGCTTTCAGAGAAGACTAACATATCTTCAAACACTCAGTGTGTTGCAGAATTTAAGGTTAGATCAGTTACTGCAAGCTGCACAGTCCCTGAGGGAGTGAAGTAACCGGAGCATTTCCACCGCCCTTACTCACAGTGGATATGACTTTCTGCTGCTTTGGCTTGCCCTAAATGTCTTCTTACTGCTGTGCCCCCCCCCACCCAAAAAAAAAACCAGACTGTTTTTTGTTTTTTAGTTTAAATATATGATATGTTTGCTAAGTGCGGTTGGGAATAAAATTAAAGTTTTCGACATGAACAAATCGTTAAGGTTTTATTTACATTGAACACTACATTCACACAATTCTTTCTCTGCAGCAAAGGCTTTTCCTGACGTCCAGGTTTACACAGCAGATGCTGAAAGCAGCGTCTCAGCGCTGACATCTAATCTGAGCCTCCGACTGTAATTTCAAGGCTTTAATGGTGTGATAAATGCGGGGAACTGACAACTTTTTCTACCACTGATTGTTGGCTTTTTCAATGTAACTGAACAATTTCCAAGGGTTGTACTTATTTTTTTTTTCAAAAACAAGACAATTTTCTGAAGAACATGTACTTTGATATATTAAAATTACCTTTTTGGACTTCTACCTTAAGGTTTTTAATGCGTGGCTTTAACCACTGTATACTGCAGATTTGAAAAGAGCGCAGCACGACGATAATGAATGCACTTTGCAAAAAGGCACTCCACAACACTGAACAAATCTTTGAATAAAAAAGAAAGAAAGAAAAAGTTTTGGCACCCCCCTTTCCTTCTTTTACCATTTTAATAAAATCCCCACAAGCAAAGCATTATTCATTCCTCTGAACATGCTACATGTGAAAGCACCACCTTAAATCGGTTTACGCAATGAAGACAATGATGCAAGGAGACACTGTTGCAACACAACGGACCACACAGACACACGGGTAAACAATGACCATTTATTCACACACTGTATGGGGCTCAGGCGTGACAGGGTGAGGCGAGGCTGTTGGCCGGCGGGGCGGGTGAAGAACCTTTAAAGTATACATGATGAGCAAAAACCTTACAGAGAAATTTTATTTGCACTTGAAGAAAAGTACAAAGTACATGTGTGGTCTGGATTGCTGCTCCTTGAGGTGATGGTGGGGCTTCATGAAGTTCAACCATACTCAGTCTGAAGGAGGAGAAACCTCTTAAACATCCCGGGCACTTGTTCCACTCTCTGTCAGTCGCTGTGGCTTACACTAGTAAACGTCTTCTCCTCTCTCGTCAGTAAGTGTACGTGAATGTTCTCCAGTGTTGTTTACTTTGACTCGCACAAACATGGCCAGACTACATACAAGAGCACACGCAGTAGAAAGTAGAGTCTCCCTGTACAAAATCCATCTCAAAAAATATACAAACATACGCACAGTGGCACACTTTGCTCAGCAGTGAACTACACGGACGGATGAACAAGCTTCTGAAATTAGCAACTCACACGCATGCTCGTACGCACACGTCTCACAGTGAAATTGATTTTATTTAAAAATGTAACCTCGAACAGAACAGATATGAAATGTGTGTGTGGAGGGTGGAGAAAGCAGGGAAGGGGGTCAGCTCAGTGTAAGCATTATGGCTTGGGAGCACTGATAACAGGCAGTAGACGGTAAAAAAAAGCATGGTTTCCATTTAGTCCACACTGTTCTCAGAAAACACTCAGCACCCTTATTATGGATGCTGAATGCCAAAGAAGCCCTGCCACGCTCACTCTCCATCCTTTTCAAGTTAAAAAACAAAAAAACAACTGTGATTATCGATTGTTTTCTTCTTCTGTGGTGGTCTTTTAAAGCTGACAGCTCCGAGTTTGTGTACGTGAACCAGCCTGTGAACAAAAGCTGCTCCGTTCTGTGCCGTCTCGTAACAACTCTCCTCAACCTTGAAGCTTCTCTCTCCCAGTGGGAGATACTGAAATGGTGCATCAGAGAGAGAGTGTGAGTGTGTGCGTTCTTGTGCACTTATGTGTAAAATACAGAAAACAAAGGATAATCTTTGTGCTGAAATCCCAGGATCCATCAGCTTGAGGTTGAATTCTCTCTTTGACAATAACACATAGTGACTAATCTAGTCATCACTCTCGGCGGAGCGTCTCTGGAATAGGCAGGAATATCAGGTGGTGAATGTGTGTTTGTGTGTGTGTGCGCACAGTGACACAGAGGCGTAAAAGAGCTGCACACACACACCCCCGTCGACTTGGGGCCTGCGTGAACGGGGGGAGAAGGCGAGTGAGAAGTTTAAGTTTAGTCCTTCGGGGCATGAAGGGGTGATTCAACACCAGTCCGTCCCACGTCTCCTCACCTCGTCCTCTGTCTCCTTTAGTCCAAACGCACACCGGCGCTCTCCTTTCCTTCAATACATGTGTACATGTGTGAGTATTATCTTGTGCGGATTTTGTCTTTAGAGTCAAACGAATGAGGAGAATCCCGTCACAGGCGTGCGTGACCCCGGTGGGTTGGTGTTGGGATTAACGTGCGTGTGCGCCGGCTGCCCCGTGGGTGTGTACGCGCCCCCTGTGCTGTGCTGGGTGACCACGGTCTGGTAGTAGGGTTCTGTATCTGCGGTGGCGCACTCCTCATAGCCAAAAGACGTGCCGATGCCTTTAAGCCCCTTGGGCTGCCGCTTCCAGGAGTTGTAGTAGGTGGGGTCGCTCATGTAGTGGTTAACGAAGGAGTGCTTCGGCTGCTCGTCCTCGTAGTCGCTGTCTGTCAGCTGGATACAAACCCAAACAAAGTTAGAGGTGGAAGTTTTTTAGGGAGACACAGACAGACACACAGCCTTTCAGTTAAATAATGCAGAACCAGAGGAATACAGTTTTTTTCTCTTGTCATAACCTGTCATTGGAATTACCCACAATGCAACTCCGAGATTCTGGAGTGGTATGCTAGTAGCATTTCATTTCCCTTCCAGGCCCTGGCCTCAAGCAGACGTGACGAGCAGCAGGTTGTTTTCCCCCTAAAGTTTTTTTTTGTACCTCTAAAGACCTATTAATGTTTTGATGTGTAAAATTGCTGCACTTCCTTGTTGAGATGGGCTCTAATAGATGCCAGTGTTTTGTAATTTGATAGCCAACACACAGGACTCAACAGAAAAGGCTGGACTTGAACCGAGGACGCTGATAGCACAGGCTCTTCTTCTTGGATGGCACGTTACCGAGCCCTTTGGCTAATTCAGCCTGATCAATCTGCTTTGGAGGCAGAAGTCTGGAGAGCTCACTGATTCTCACTATCATTCTTTCGTTTTATTTTAACTGGCAACCGCCAGTGCTACACCTTAGCCTCCTACGCCTTGCCTTGTTCTCGAGTTATCGCTTTCACGAGGGGTAAAAACATTAGCATAGTGTGTAACACTTCCTCAATCAGACACACAGAAGAGCTGCCCTTCTTTTGACCGTGTAGATTTTTACAAACCATTACAGGGATGGAGCTGATAAGGAGCGGCAGGGAGGAAATGAATTTTCTTAAACAAGCTAATGTTCACAGATGTAAATGTAAACAGACTACACACACACTGACGGGAGAAAGCAAAGATGAAACAGGAAATTAGTGCAGTTCAGTTCAGGCTTGAACCAGACAGTTTATAGTCTGTACACAAAATGATGCCCTCTGTCCTTTAACAGAACAACACAGGAGGCATTGCTCTTTCAGTGCGAACAGACACGCAGAAGATGTTGTATAATGTAGACCTACAGACTTATGAAAAAGACTCAGTGCCAT